CCGACTTGGAGGCACGTCTTCCGTGGTGGTGACAGGACTCGCACCTCCAGTCTCCTGCTGCCCAGCGTCGCCACCCGTCGGTGCGGACTCAAAGCCGAAGCCAAAACCAGGGTACCCATAGCCGTAGCCATAGCCAGCGTAGCCGTAGTTGCCGGGGAATCCGTAGCCGTAGCCGAAGCTGTAGTCGCCGCCGTAGGACGAGTAGTAGTCCGGGTAGTATCCGTATCCATAGCCGCCTCCGAACGAGTAGTCGGGGTAGTAGCCGTAGCCGTAGTCGTAGTCGTCCTTGCCGTAGCTGTAGACGTCCTTGCCGTAGTAGTCGTCGCCACGGCCGTAGTAGTCCTTGCCACGGCCGTAGTAGTCCTTGCCATAGTAGTCCTTGTCGTCGTAGTTTTTGTCATAGTAGTAGTTCTTGCCGTAGTAGTCTTTTCCATAGTAGTCCTTGCCGTAGTCGTTCTTCCCGTAGTAGCTCTGGCCATAGTAGGCCTTGCCGTAGTAATCCTTGCCATAGTAGACCTTCCCGTAGTAATCCTTGCCGTGACCGTAGCCGTAGTCGTCGTAGCCCTTGTACTCGTAGACGTCCTTGTGGTGGTGGCCGTAGTCATCCTTGCCGTAGTTGTCCTTGCCGTAGTCGTAGTCCGAGGACTCGGTGGCCTTCTTGGCGTCTTCGAGACGGCGACGGTAGTACTTGTCGTGATCGTGGTGGCGGTGCTTCTTGCGGTGATCGTGGTCGTGGTCGTGGTCGTGGTGGCGCGGGTGGTGTCCGTAGTCTTCCTGCTTGGCGCCGAGGTGGCGGTGCGGCGAGAGGCCTGCAGGAGCGGCGGCACCAGCATCGGTCGCCTGCAGCACGGAGGCGGCGACGCACAGGCTGAGCACGGCGAGGAGCTTGGAGTGCATGTTGAAGGCGGAGGCCAGCTCGGGTGTGGGCTCGGTCGGTTTAGTGGTGGAGTGTTGTGGGGTGGCGAATTGGAAAGTGAGAGAGTTGGGGCCGCGCGGAGGCTGGATGATGGTCGAAGCCATTACCACTCAGTAGTCTCTCACAAGGTTGAGAGGCAGCGAGCGAGCGCACCATCAATCCAATCACGGTTTCAGGATCTGAAACCACCATCAACTAGAAATGAAAACCTATCGAGAAGATGGTTCGATACAAGAGGATGTGTAGTATCACTGCGTAGTTTCACGTCAGTGCTACCAAAAAATACAATGCAACCAACACATCAACGTGCCACAGCTTATCTACCTGCCTGGTTTCGTTTCAGAGATACTATACTACTAGTACTTATCTGTACTGTTCTAAACGTCTAACAGCTCCAACTACTCATCTGAACTGCTCTAAATGTTATTTAGTCGTCTTCAATCTGCCCAATGCGAATCAAAGGTGGGCTATATACTGTGTCCAGCGCTTGTTTCACCGACTAAGTAACATGCGGTAGAAGAGTGTTCTAACACCACTAACCTCACACATAAATAAACGTTCGCAAAAAGAAAGATGACATCCATTGGCGGCGTATTACTACTACTTACTACTAGTACTACCACTGCCAGTTTTTATCAACGCTACATGGTGTACACGACAGTACACTTGCCGTGGGCTACATCCTCGCCCATCGTCTACGGTACTTCGACTTCTTGCCTTCGCACGGACGCACGCGCCTCTTACGCTGGTTTACGTTACGTTACTTTACTTTACTTGCCCTTGCCCTTGGACTTGTCCGCAGCGCCGGACTTGGCGGATCCCTTGGACGGCGTCTTGCTGTCCTTCTCCGCCGACTTGGAGGCAACGTCTTCCGTGGTGGTGACAGGACTCGCACCTCCAGTCTCCTGCTGCCCAGAGTCGCCACCCGTCGGTGCGGACTCAAAGCCGAAGCCAAAACCAGGGTACCCATAGCCGTAGCCATAGCCAGCGTAGCCGTAGTTGCCGGGGAATCCGTAGCCGTAGCCGAAGCTGTAGTCGCCGCCGTAGGACGAGTAGTAGTCCGGGTAGTATCCGTATCCATAGCCGCCTCCGAACGAGTATCCGGGGTAGTAGCCGTAGCCGTAGTCGTAGTCGTCCTTGCCGTAGCTGTAGACGTCCTTGCCGTAGTAGTCGTCGCCACGGCCGTAGTAGTCCTTGCCACGGCCGTAGTAGTCCTTGCCATAGTAGTCCTTGTCGTCGTAGTTTTTGTCATAGTAGTAGTTCTTGCCGTAG